GCTCGACGACGAACAGTTCGGTCACATCCGATCTCAGATTATTGCCACCGAACCTGTTCCGGACATACACCGGGCTTATGCACTCATCGTTCAAGAGGAACGCCACAAGAGCATTGTCCGTGGCCGAGATGACCGTACGGACGCTCTCGCCTTTGCCATGCAGCGTCCCGCTCCTACCTTGGGTCGTGGAGACCCCCCCCATTATTCGTGCACACATTGTGGAAAAGACGGCCATTCCGTGGATCGGTGCTATCAATTGCATGGGTATCCGCCCGGGAAGGGCCGTGGAGGTCGCGACACTGCATCCGGCCGAGGGGGTCGCGGCGGTGGCAGAACGCCGTCCGGCGGCAGTAGTGCCCCTGGCCGTGGGTCTGGCCGAGGGATAGGATCAGCGACAGGGGGAGCAAATGCAGCCACCAATTCCAACGCCCTAGGCCTCACACCTGATCAGATGACTCGGTTACTTTCCATGCTCGACGTCTCTTCTTCCGACAAGAATACTGGGTCTAATGGTGAGGCATCGGCTCGTGAGTGGCTTATTGACAGTGGTGCCTCTCATCACATGACTGGTAATATCTCCTTTTTAACTGATGTGGTTCCCATGGCCCCCTGTGTCATCACGTTGCCCAATGGTACACAGACTACAACCACTCGATGTGGCCGTGTGCGGCTCTCACCCGAAGTAGTGCTTCGGGGCGTTTTGCTTGTTCCTCATCTGCAGTGCAATCTTATTTCTGTTGGTTGTCTCATTCGAGATACCTCTTGTCTTTTTATTTTTAACAAAAACTGTTGTGTCATACAGGATTGTGTCACGAAGATGGAGATTGGACGGGGTGATGCACACAATGGAGTTTTCCTGTTTCGTCCATGCTCTACAGCATTTGCTACCCAAGTGGATCCTTCTCTCCTTCATAAACGCTTGGGGCATCCATCTGTTCAAGTTTTGTCGTCCCTTATTCCTTCTGCCAGTAGCTCTAAACTTAAATTATTACAATCATGTGAAATTTGTTTCCAATCCAAACAAGTTCGTAGTTCTTTTCCTATTAGTTCCAATAAAGCTACAAGTGTTTTTGATCTAATTCATTGTGATTCATGGGGTCCCTACACCCCTTGTTTAGCTACTGGTGCACACTATTTTCTCACTATTGTCGATGACCATTCTCGTGCAGTTTGGGCTTATTTGATCATTGATAAATCTGAAGTACCTAGTTGTTTGAAACAATTTTTTTCCATGATACAGACCCAATTTCATAAAACCATAAAAATTGTTCGTTCTGATAATGGCACCGAATTTGTCAATCAAGACCTTTGGTCCTATTATGCCACTTTGGGTGTTCTTGTTCAAACTTCTTGTGTAGGTACTCCACAACAAAACGGTCGGGTAGAACGAAAACATAGACACATATTAAATGTCGCCCGCTCCCTTATGTTTCAAGCTCACTTACCTATTGAATTCTGGGGGGAATGTGTTCGTACTGCTGTTTATTTAATTAACCGTACTCTCAACAAACTACTTGGTGGTAAGTCTCCATTTGAAGTTCTAAATCACAAAGCACCAGATCTTAGTCATCTTCGAATTTTTGGATGTCTATGTTTTGTACGACTCAGGACTTCCAACAAATTTTTTCCTCGAAGCACCAAGTGCATGTTTGTTGGGTACCCCTCCGGCACAAAAGGTTGGCGTGTGTATGACCTTGATACTCATCGTTTCTTTCACACTCGGGACATTGCTTTTGACGAGAGCACGTTCCCGTTTGCC